TGGAGACATCTTGTGTCCAGAAGGTAAACTTTGGAGATATTTGCATATTCATAGATTCTGGACTGAAGAATCAGATGCACGTTATTACTTGAAGCAGAGTATTTTATGTGTATTAAACATCCAGTCTGTAGGATTTAGTGGCATCTAGCGGTATAGTTGCAGATTGCAACTCCCTCGCTTCACCCACCCCTTCCAAGAGTGAAGGAGAAACTATGACAAACATGAACAATTCTATCTAAAGCCAGTGTTTGGTTTGTCCCTTCTGGGGTACTGCAGAAACATGGTGGTTCAACTTGGTGGTGTCTGTAGATATAAAAGGCTAATTTTAAGGTAACAAAAACACAACAATACTTATTTTCAGGCCATTAAACATGAAATCATACTTACTTATATTATATCCCCTTTTTGTCAGTAGACCCTCCAACAGGATTCACACTGGACCTTTAAAACATGAGGAGACATTAAAAATGAACAAATGTCTTAGCTCTGACCAGATGGGGGCTGAAACACCACATAAATATCCCTCACAAGTGCAGAGGACAATTTGTCCTTTTTTAAGGAGTTATTTTGGATTTACAAGTCCTTCAAGAAGCTAAGAGGCAGTGTGTTATTTTACTGGCCTTGGCTGAATGTGGTTTGGTGTATTTGGCTTCTTAACAGAGTAATCCATTGTGACCTAGAGCAGTTTCAGTGGGACGGATAGACATGATCACTGAATGTAATCTCTGTCCATTCATAGAGGTCCACAGCGCTGTGTGTCAATTAAAAGTAGCAAAAATACCAGGAATTATAAAATATATACATTTGCTGCTATGAAAAGTGAGACAATTAAAATGTTTTGTCTCAGAAACACATCAGCAGTCTCTTGGGCTACACCTGTACCTTATCTCCATGACAACATCATCTTGTGTTTCAAGGCATACATAGATGCTGAAGAAAATGATATACATTCAAATGCCCCCTCAATCCAGTCTGATACAGCAGTAATTCTGCATTGGGGACAAGCTTGTCAGAAACACCATCAACTCCAAACATTATGTTTTAAAGACAAGGGGTATATTCATCTGTAATAACATATAATGGGTGGGAATGAGACTCTGAATGCTGCACGTTAGAGCCAGAACTGAAAATCTGAGGAAGAATAATTAGGACTTATGTTAATTAAAGGGTTCATTATAGATTTTTTGAGAAAGTAGGCCTACTCTGCTGTTATGTGATCGTGTGGCTGTTATTTTGTTGTGACAGAGTCTGAGGGGTCAGGAGGGCTGCTGGGAAATGCTGGGCCTGCTGACAAATGCAACACTGGGACACTCGACCACATAAATAAATCAGATGATGTTAATGTTTTCATTGTGGTTAATGGTTTAACCATTTTACTTCAAGAGCAAAAATGCACGTTATTAAATCACTTTTGTTTGTAATTTGAGTCTTCAAAAGTCATTTTTTCAGAAAACAACTGAAAAAACATTATCAGTAACTTTTTCTTAATCCCAGTGCAGTGGCCTACGTATTATTTTACAGGATACAGACAATAATATCTGCAAAATTATTTTATGATGAAAATAAATAAGATTTTAGTGCGCACGTTAGGTTAGCCCTTTGCTGCAAGTTGTCCCCTTTCTCTATCTCTGTCCCTCTTTGTCTCTCTTTCTCTCTCTCTCTCTCTCTCTCTCTCTCTCTCTCTCTCTCTCTCTCTCTCTCTCTCTCTATCCCCCCATATCCTGTCTAACATCAGCTGTCCTATCAAATAAAAGGTATAAAAAGCCCCCAAAACATATTTAAAAAAAGTTTCATGGAAGAAGAGTAAAATCAAATTTCGACACATTTTGAAGGTTATTTTCTAAATCCCTAATGTTATATCAGATTAAACACTTAATCTTAATGTTTGAGGCCATATTTCTGTTGTTGCTCACACAATATTTGACATATTACTACACTGACCTGCTATATGTGGCATATGCATGATTTTAGCAGCAAAGAACAGATCAGATGTTGGCTCACAGAGGGTCATAATACATTTATTCCCTCCTATGCAGCCACACAAGCTACTTTAAACAGTTATCCTGTACCTGCTGACTTAAAGCATTCATATATGTGAGGCTGGCTGGTCCCTGTCAAATCCTGCTGGTGTTGGTGAGCAGAGGGGAGACAAACACAGACACTGCTGCTGCTGCTGCTGCTGCCAGGAGACCTGCTGTAAGGCAGCCCAGCTCAGGACTGCAGAGACTATAAATAGCTCAGCCTGTCTTTCTCACAGGCACCACCCACCACATTACCCATGTGGCAGCACAGCAGCACAGAGCAAAACAACACAGCACCACTGCATACTGTACCACATTTAAATCAGATCAGAGGTAACCTGCTCACCGCTGAATGTGAACGTGAAGTGATACCAAGAAACTGACAGAAGAAGAGAACAAGTTGTACAGATGAGAAGTGTTTTGGTTTGGAGAGTTAGGCCAAGATTTTAAAGCATTAGAACAACAATAGTCACTCATTTTAAGTTTAACAAGTTAGCCGACACACTATTATATCACAGTTTACATTGTAATAACTGACACTGATCTGCTGACAAAACAGGAAAACATGGCTCAATTTATGATTTGAACAATAATGTAAAGCAGCCAATGAGATGCTACAGTAACAGATTCATAGGTTTTCTCAGATTCATTGGAAATGTTATGCTGGAGTGCACAGTATGGGGCCCTGAATCGTGTAGAAAAAGCTTATCAGACATGTTAAAAATATAACTGAATACATAAATAAATAATATTGTTAGTTTGTTCATAAAAAATTTACTTAACCTAAAAAGAAATATAAGTCTAATGTAATATAAGGCTTTTTCACCAACTACTTGATCAAATTGTTTGAAAATGATTTATTTTACTCTTCCTCAGTTGGTCCTGTGTGTGTGTAAAATCAATCATCCGCATACTGCCGTAGCATCACTGATGAACAGCTTTTGGCAAGCTAATGGCTAACAAAGTTAAGAAAATAGGGTGAGGGTAAGATAAATCATGAAATGTGTCCCAAGAGCTGTAATTAAATTTAAATGTATTTTTCATTAACTGGTGGAAAATGAAAAACAAAATAGCTTTTTAATGAACCAGTTGAAGGTTAAGTAAAAGTATAAAGCTTTCTGTTTACACTCCATTTGAATTGTGTAAGTAGTAAATACTGACATTTGTTACATTCTTTCTTATGAGTCTTTATTTTCCCAGAATACTTTGTAAAAATACAACTATTAAAATGCACTATAGAGGTAATTTCACCTGGAACTCTTCTCAGCTTTCTTGCACCTGTAGGGCTTGGACAAATTAGACCTTCATTATCTTTATTAGTTCACCTTCTACCTGAGCAGAGGTCTAATCAGTGAAAATGACTGAGTGTGTAGGGCCTTCTGACCATTTCAACCTGATGTCTGACCATTTGTTTAAATCTATCTGGATGAAATCTGTTCCTGGTGTGAGACCCCAACATGCTGCTAGTTTAATACCCTGCCGGGAAGTTAATAACCTGTAATTGCATTCACCTTGCAGCTACCTGAGAGCCTCTACATCAGGGAAGCAGCATTTGATTAATGCCACGCACCACTGTAATCAGCTACTTTCCTCTCTGCAGCAGCAATCCCTCAGCCTGTTGCTGTTTCTTGAACACTGTTAACTCACTGGATTCCTGTACTGTTTATGGTCCTCGCTGGTGGTTAACGAGGGTACAACACGTGGGTCGTTAACATAACGGACACCTGTCCAATCTGAGTAGATTAATAGAACTTTTTTCACAGCACCCATTTTTGACATGAAATAATCGGGTAAACACAGGTGTCACCAATGATACTAAATAAAGCTCCGTTCCATTCAGGTCAAACAGAGTCAGGGTGCTGCTACTGTGCATATTGGCTCACTGGAAAGGCTCTGCTACAATAAAAGGAACTGAATGCTACTGTGAAAAAAGTCTATTGTATCAACAAGCAATACAATGCTTGGTATTTTATTTACAATACAAAAAGGCTTGATTTTAAAGATGGATATATCCCAGTGGAGAGATAAGAGATGCAGTAGAAATAGCAAGAAACTTAATCAACAGTGGTTGATAATAATAACCATTAGGTGTTTTTCTGCCTTACTGTCTCAGTGGGAGTCTGTTGCACTGCAGATACGAAGAAATAAGATGCTTATAAGAAGATGTGGTTGATCCTGGAGAACACTTTAGCCCAGATTAGGGACGGCTGTAATCTCAGCACAGTGGTTTCAGATTACACCGATTCATTCAGTCCTGCAGTGACTCCATAATATCTCTCTCTGTGCGTGTATATATTGTGTTTTTTCTACTGTGGGAAGAGCTGGTAGGTTGGGGTTGGAACAGCAACACACTTTGTACAAAGTTCATTTTTGTGTCTCTAGACTGACAGTATTTTATTTTGAATTGAATGCCAACAAAGCACTTTAAACTGCATGACTCGATGCTTTTACTGGAAAAGAATATACCTCCTAAAAAATCAATTAGGTGCATTAGGAGTTTAGCTCTGCTCTGGTAAAGATGAGAGGTTATTGCTCCTGTAAAAGACAGCTATGGAGCTAACACACACTCACTTACAAAAAACTGATTTTGTCTCCACCGAAAACATCCTTAATCGCATAAACATACATATTATCTCCTCCTAAAACAGCCGAAATGCGACCTTTAATCATTTTCCTAGAAGTCCTCGAGGTTTGTCAGACCTTTGCATCAGCAGGTTAAGAGGATTAATAGAACAGAGGCTGTTCAATTTATCAATCAGTGATTGTTACGCAATAGCCAACTTTTCCAAGAATAATACTATGTGGAGGAAAAAAAGAGAAAACATCAGATGAAAGGGCAGAGAAATTGCTGCGTTCTTTACAAGCAGAATTATCTAAAATTAGCTCCATCCCGTCTGCCTCCCTCTTCAGTAATTACATTTCACCATCGCTGAATGTTGCTGCTTTGTCCAACATGATAAAAACCACAGTGGTCCTGGGTCTGTATTAACAAGTTGAAATATTTATTTTAAAAACTGAAAAAATAAAAACACACCCACCAACATAGTTTTAGTATATCATACAAAGACATATTTCAATGTTGCTATGTGAGTATTTGTTTCTCTTTGACTACAGTGTGAGGCAGTTTGAAAGGCTGGCTGAGCTGGTAGGACTACAAACAACGACCCGAGAGAGAGAGAGAGAGAGAGAGAGAGAGAGAGAGAGAGAGAGAGAGAGAGAGAGAGAGAGAGAGGTTAATAAAGAATATTTGGGCAAAAGTACAACCAAACATCACTCAAGATGCATTCAATTCATCTTTAAAGACACTTGAAATACCATAAAAATCCTTCTTTGATGGTATTTTCTTTTGTTTCATATTCCAATTTCAAATTAAATCAGCCAACGTTTTGCCCAGGTGTGGAAGTGACAGAACACACCTAAAATCATTATTAAATACAAAGACCTGGTCCAACAGTACTGCAAATAATGCTTGCTGTTTGTAGTAGCAGCAGATGGGTGGTGTCAAATTGGAAAATGATGTCAAATTCTGATTAAAATAACGCTTTTCTGTCTTTTGACTCACCCATCTGCTTCTCCCAAGTGACTTAAAACTAGTTTTTTTAAAGAATAATAAGCAAATACAAATTTGACCAGTGTCTGTTAAATAAACCAGCGTCACAACTTTGTAGATACATAGCTGAAGCGGAGCGTCAAAACTAAGTATGTTAAGACACAGAGAAAGACAAACTCCAGGAGAATCATCGTTGCCATCAACAAAGGGAAAAAAGGAATACGGTGTTGGGGTTCGAAACGGAGGCCTTCTCATCTCAAGGCATGATCAGTCTTCTCACAGAGTCCACTAGCAACAAGTTCAGTCTCAGTTGGAAATTCTGTTAAATAACAACCTCTTACGGAAAAAAAATTACTTATATTAGTTTCGTGTGGCGTTCATGTGCATCATTTTGTATCCTTAATTCAATTAAACTGAATCCTTACTCAGAGAGATGCAAAAATGGATGCTATCAAATGCTTGTAGATGAAAAGAAAGCAAAAGATTATTTCCAACAATTGAAGGCCTGTAGTTTATATATACACAGCTACTTGGTCTTGAGGAAGCTATGGAAAACACTGCAGTCTGTATACTGCATACTTCAGAGTCCACTGTGGTCCTGGCAATGCAGACTGTTAGTGAAGGGTTTAGAAAACTGCAGTCCACCATCAGTCCTGTAGGTTACTTGAAGAGGCAGGATCATGTGATATACCAGATAAATCTTAAAACACGAATAAAAGGATTTGTGCAGCCTTAAGCTTTCCAAAACTGAACACTAAACATTCAAGTTTGATCTAAAACCCTTCAGCACTTCCTTTTGTTGCTTCTGTAGCAAGCAGGCAGTCGTCCCGCTGGCAGAGTCATTACATCTTCAGGAAATAACCGAGCTAACGTCTTGGACAGCCGACAGAAGACAGAAGACAACACCTTTAGCAGTTCATTATGTGACTGGATCCAAAGCTGCTTCGGAATCTGCTTCTGTGACAGATCTGCTGTAGTGCTGCTTGACCACTGACACTTGTATTATAAAAAAAAAAAAAAAAAAAAAATATGCACCAATGAATCAAACTTTATTTGACAACTTTTCTGCCAGACTTCCTTAGCAACTGTTGCTGCCTTAGGAAACAAATTAGCAGACCCAAAAGTGTTGTTTCTTTTTTTCTGTATAAAAAGAGGTTTTCTTCCCACAACCCTCTTTCCTTCCTTTAACCAATAAAAAGGGGAAAAGACAAAAATGACCCTGTGTCATTAGTGTTTGGGCAATGGTTCTCCCTCATCAGACCTACCCATGATGCACCGCTACCTCTGATGATGTAGCATGAGGTAGTTGGGAGTCTCAAAAGCTCAGAGGGAGAAGACTGTTAAGAGAAAACGACTCCCCGACTCCTCCGCGCGCTGACAGTCTGAAGCGGTTTTTAAAAGTTTCCATGCAAACTTCTGTTAAAAAAAAAGAAACAAAAAAGAAGGGGTCGGCTCAAGTTAACAGTCACAGGTCATTATAATGGTGGGGAGGTGAAAGGCAGAAAGTCCAGTGAACCAGCCAGTGAAGTGGTATGGACTTAATAAGGTGATAACTCACAGTGAAAAAAGCAGGGGAAGAAAGTAGGGAGGAAAATAAAGAGAGATAAAGAGCATCTCGTGCTCTAACAGCTTTATACGCTCACAACGTGGGACAAACGTTTAGTAGGGGAGCATGCATGCCATCTATGTTACACAGAGACATGATTTTGGGCCAGACAGTCACTGATCTCCCCCTCTTGCTGCTGAGAGCTTGTGCAATGCATCCTGGGATGTTTTGAGTAGAACTTGTGCTTGTAGCGTCCCTGCTGTGAACCCTCCCTCGATGGAGCGCCGTTATTAAAAACCGGGGAGAAGAAAAAAAGACAGTAAATACTCGGATCCACTTCCCTTCACGACTGCTTCGCACCAACACAGTCCTGGGGGAGAGGCAAAGAGGGGGTGTGAGGCTGTGAAGTCAGGCAGTGTCTTTTCTTCCTTACATCCATTAGTTCCTCCTTTTGACGCCCCTCTCCCGGCGCTGAGCCCTTGGTGCTGTCCTCTATGGAAGATTGGAAGATTACGGACGCGGGTGAAGAAGCAGGTTTAGAAAAGAAGCACCTTTTAATTTGGCTTAGATAACAAACAAAAAAAAAAGAGAGAGAAGAAAACAAGGGAGAAAGAGACTGAAAAGTGTGTGTATAAATAGAAAGAGGCAGACAGAAGCCGGTTTTCTGGTAGAGGAGGGGGATGACGGAGGAGGCAGGGTCTCAACCTGTGCCTGTGGAGAAGAAGACAGATTTGAGTCATTTCTGACACTTTTATACAATATCTTTAGGGTATATTTATTATACAGTGGCTGTCCTCGGTGCTTACCCTCTTCTCCCTCGCCCCAGCCTTCTGCTACCCCAGCCAGCTCGTAATGTTTCTTCCTCAGCTCGCCGAGACGCTCGCGCTCCTTCTGCAGACGGGTCTCCAGCTCCAGGACCAGAACCTGAAGAAACACAGACACACACGCAGAGGACAAACACACATTCGTCACTTCCCCGCAACCTTTTATTTCCCCTTTGAAAACCATGAAAAACATTATATGAGTCACACACAGAAAGCAGTTGCATGAAGACAGACGCGAAGGGAGTAGCTTTTACTATAAATGAAGAATACCATCATTTATTGTAAAGCACTGTATAGTACATACAATTTAAACATGAGCCACTCCTAACCTTAACATCCACTGAGGTATCGATCACTAATAGTCTTTAATGAACACACTTCACTGTTTTATCTGTTCCCAAAGATCAGCTAGATGTCTTACGAAGCCTCTTTTAATATACAAATAATTAATTATTCTTTCTTTAAACACAAAAATGTAATTCAGGCTAAATTAGCAGTGGTAGCAGTGGTAAATCAAATCCACGCATTTTCTGACATTTTTGCATGAACAATGACTTTAAAAATTACTTTAGTATAATAGTTATTTTTCTGTCGATCGACTAATAGATTAATTGTCTAATTGTTGCAGCTCTAAATCACTTTTTACCTAAGTTTTGATTAGACTGCTAAAAATACACTTCAAACAGTAGCCCTCTGCGTATTGACAACAATGGAGCGTGTGTGTGAGCAGGTCCAGACCTCCCTGTGTTTTTCTTTCAGTCTCGGAGAAGCGCTGAGCGACAACAGAGTGGAAGTGTTTGGATGGGTTTGAAATTCACACTCTCAATTATTATAAAAACACCTTCAGAGTCTAATTAATAAGTAGTTAATTACTTTATACATAGCCAAAATCACATATCAATAATCCTATCAAATTATTAAATCATTCATTCCTAAAATAAGATTTTCTTATGTTATGAGCCCAAAAGGGAGGATATTCCTAGAGCAAGGTTGCTTCTCGGTTTAATTTAAAAAAAATAATTTTAAGACGCACAACTGAGCTATGTCACTCAGTGTCTGTCTATATTCTGCTGCTTACCTGTGCATCCATCTCTTGCCGTTTGATCTGGGTGAGAGTCATGCTGGAGAAGTCCATCGTATCTGGACACAAACGACAAATTATATTCAAACACCTTCTGGCTTTTTCTTCTAACTTGTAGCTTCGAAGGTCCTCAAAACCAGAATATAACAACTTGACATTTTGTATTATGATCAAATGCAATATTAAACAGTGTTATTAATCCAACTCTCCAGTCAGTGAGGTTCTCTTACCCGTCTCTTCAATTTGGGACTTCCCAGACTTGGTGGAGGCCACGACAGCTGCGGTGGCCTGTGTGACGCCGCGGGACGCGTGCTGCAGACGGTGCAGGTTGGTGCTGTCTTTATCTGCTTTAACCTGGAGAGGGAGAGCAGCAGCAAGACAAGAGACATGAGAGCTACATCATGGTAACGCTGCTTACACCTGTATTACTCAAAGTCTATTATAGGGTCACTATACTATGGATTGGCGATGACCTGTTTAGACTCCACTGGGAGAATGACTGTTACTCACCTTAGAGGCAGCCACTAGCTGTGCTGTGCTGGCAGCTATTTCATGAGAACACACCATCAACTCCTCAAACTTCCCTTTGCCCTGCACCACCAGATCAGCGGCATCTCTGGAACGACACAACGCAGTGCAAAATAAACTCAAGGGGTTCACTGAATCAGTGGTTTTTAATGTCGAGGTTAAGACCACTCTGTGACACAGTGAGAACAACCTGATTTATGAACGAACTTCCATAAGTAAAGAACCTGATTTTGTTTGTTCTTTATTTATTTCCTTGTAAAGGTCAGTCACTCATTCTTTAGAAGTAATCACAGCTGCTTGCGATGCACTTTCTCACTGTTAACTTTATGAACAGAAGAACTTTCACACTATGAAAGAGACATCCGGGGGAGGACTGATACTCACACCATGACCGTGGCGCCCCATCCCACTGCTTTGGAGGCAGAGATCAGGCCCTCAGTCCAGCGGGAGTTCTTGGCATAAAATTCCTTCATGGAGGCTGCCCCCTGGTGGACAAAGGAGGGAATATCAATATAAAATACATGTCTATTTCAATATCAATTTATCTGCCAATTATTTTCTTCAATAATTGAGACACTGACACTTTGAATGTCTCGTTTTGTCTCAAACCGACCAAAAGATATTTAGTTTACTGTAATTTAAGATGAGGACTAATCTGTTGATTAACTAATTGTTTAAGCTCTAGTCTGGAGACGGTGCCATAAAGGTCTGTAAGTGCAATCCAATATTACACCCTGCATTAAATACAGCTTTTGTTGAGAGTGTGTCAGAGACTGCATTACACTGTAAGGAGTGCCTGATATTATTAAACGTATTATAGTATTTTTTAAAGCTGCATATTCAGTTGTTTGATTTAAAAAAAAGTTAAGATTTGTTGAACTCTAAAATACATATGCAAGTAAAGTTTTCCACCTGTGAATTTAAGAGAAATTATTATGAATGTCTCATCAAATCTGTAAATAGTACCATGCAGAACTCTTCTTCACTGATAACTTTAGGGAAGAAATAAAAAGAAAAATTGCAGCATAACTCACCCTGCCGCTCTCCACGATGTCCCTTTGCAGAGTTTTGGAAGACAGAATGAGCTCCTTGATCGCCTGCATCAGCTCCGTGCAGGAGGCCAAAATCCTGCAGGGGGCGACAGAGCAACACTCACACTCTGACTCTACAGCTGCTGCTACTATTGATGTCTCTTTTTTTATAGGAACCAAAACATTATGAAGCCTGTTCAGTGTTTTGTCTGCAAATATCATGAATGCAACTCATTCTTGTCCGGTCTGCTCAGCTTTCAGCCGACAAATATCACCCGAATTGACAGAGAGTGGCTTCATTTTAAAAGACAGAGCTCAAAATAGAAAGAAATCAGCCTCCTCACTATTAAGAAAGTTTCCCCACGGGTTAGTTATTGCAAGGCCGATGCACAACTGACGTAAATTCTCAATGTTTCTTTTCTTAATTATCTCTCTCAGCAGTGCTGCAGCAACTATTGAGAAAACAACTTTTTTCTTACATTAATAATTAAGTCAGTGGGAGAAATGAGAGGAAAAGGAAAAACTTAATTGGCTTAATTTGCACACAAAGAGAATTATTACACAGGCTTGATGAATAAAACATTGGTTTCTCTGAGTTTAAAAATGAAAAGATACAAACCTAATTACTAGAAGACTTAGATCATTATGAGACAAAAAGCAGCAGTACTGAATGAAAATGAACCGATATTTCTGATGGTGGTTTTAGTGCAGATTTATGTGCACGCAACAAATCACTCTGCTGGTTGAGTTTGGAGCAGGAAGCCAAGCTTCTGTCCAATAATGTAATCAAGAGATTTCTGAACTTCCTGGAGCTGTTAGCAGTAACAATATAAATAAACCCAGTGGGTGTAAGACATCTCTAATATGATAACAGTTTGTGGAGTTGCTCCACCGAAAAAGGAACAACAATATTAAAACTAATTCCAGGTTTGTATGGATGAAAAGGCCGTCGTGCAGACAAACATTGTGTGCCACTCCGGCTTCAGACTTCAGTTTTCGACGGCTTTGCGGCTGAACTGATGACATTGTTCACACATCAGCCCTCATAGTGTCTGACTGCCTGCAACTGCACTCAAATATCATGTGACTGTTGTGCTGTCTTGCTGAAAAGCATCTCTATTTTCTTTTCCAGTTCAACGCCTTTGTTTGCACCAATCACATTATGTGGTTAACTCTTTCACAAACAAATATCTGGAGGCTTGGCATGCTGTATTTACCCATAGCAGATGATTCAGTTCCTCAATCTTCATATATTTTCAGCCACTTTCATTTCTCTTTCACAACCAACCAGTATTTCTTAGTTATGGTTTCTTCTTTTATCTTAACACAACTCACTGCCACGCAGAGACAATAAAGCCATAATAGAAATAGAAAAGTTTGTTTGTGGGTCAACTGTGTTTCTATTTCAGGAAAATGTGATACTGTTGTAAGCGTAATGAGGTTGAACTAGTTCAGATCTTCCTGCACTCGACTGAGTCTCATTTAGATGCAATAATCTTTCAGTATTCAGTTAATTTGAGGTTTCAGCTTTTCTTATCTGAAAGATATAAGACCCTACATATAGACTTTTCCACCTGGGAGACAGTCGACTGTGTCTACTGTTATGGTAAAGTGATTCCCCGCAGCTCTCAAATCCAGTCCTAATCTGTGTTTTACCTCTCATTGACCTCCATCTTGATTCCTGTATCAACTGCACGAGACTTGTTAAGCATTTCCTGTTGGGATCCACAGAGGCACAAAGGAGACAAAAAAGACACTTTGAAGTTAATACTGCTGTAAAGTGAAACAGGGGGCAATGTTTTCTCACAGCTTGCAAGGAGCTGAGTGTGCACACACACCCACACACACACACACACACACACACACACACACACACACACACACACACACACACACACACACACACACACACACACACACACACACACACACACACACACACACAAACCTCTATCCTGGCAGCTGCCGATTCCACAGCAGCAGAAGTGGCAGCCATTTCCTGCTCCACAAGATCTCCCAGTTCCCCCTGCTGTAGCTCCAAACCCCGAGGACGCAGTTTCTGAACAAAAAAAGAGATTTAAGAAAAAGTTCTTCAACACACATTTAAACAATTGAATCTGTTATAACGGTCTAGATTAAATTAAACTCATTCCTGTTGTCATCATACAGCAACTCCCGGGGGCGCTTTGACCCATTTTATGCATCAGAATACAAACATTAGTAAGTATGTATGAAGTAAACACCTCTGCAGTTGCCAGGATGGCCTCCAGAGCTGCCTTCAGCTTGCTGTTGTCTGCTGCAGCCAGGCTATCCTGCTGCTTCATCTGGCCCAGCAGAGCCAGAGCTTCGGCCCCGCACGACTTCACACTCTCTGACAGGGCTGACAGGGACAGAGACAAGGACAGGGATGTGTTATTGCTCCGAATAACGGTCTTAAAATACACAAATATACACTGAAAGAAAACCACCAAAAAGTCTGATTTCCTTTAAAATGGTATCATTTACATTCAATTTTCTAATAAAATACCATATTATGTTTTCTGTAAACTCTGATGTGTAGCAGTGCCACTAGTGGCTGCAGCTGCAGTGTTAATTATAATGACATCCCTTCAGGCAAAGTGTCAACTAACAGCTGAAACAGCCACTCTGATGGAAGGAGGAGAGAAATCAAAACTACCTCGACAGCAGCTGCCAGACAGCCAGACGATTTACATCAAACTGTACTTTCGCATGCTGCATTCAAATGTTGCACAGGGTTGACTCGCTCTCAGTCGATGACCAGAGCCAGAGATGCAGCTTCAGTTCGACCCAGTTTCAATTAGCTTTTTGTTGCAGTAATAAGATCGCTGGCCAGGGCTCCATTATATTTGGGCATGTTCAGACTTGCTCAGGCTGCTAATATCCCCAGAGGATCCCTGCAAACATTACTCCTGAATGAAGCCAGCAACTTTGTTCTATCCTCGCATGTTTTAGCTCAAATTTTGCACTGAAGACACGACTTTTTAAAGATCACAGTATGAACACTGGAGCAGGACGTTCAGACGAACAGACCCGGCGTACAATGTATATCCCAGAAAATTAGACAATAGCTTTAACTTACACTGCCCAACCTTACTGTACACATGTAACACATGAAGAGGTATGAACGACTTAATGACATGTCAGAACGTGTCTGGGTTGACTGACTCACCCACAGATTAGTATCAGGAGAGGAGAGGAGACTACAATCTGCTCATCTTTCTGTCTCTCACACACACACACACACACACACACAGATGCAAACTTACCATCAGCTTGCTCCACAGGCACCATGTGGGAGGTGGCACTACCCTGAACGATGGTGTCGCCCACCAGGTGGCCGCACTGGGTGACCACTCGCACCAGCTCAGATACACCTACACAGAAGAATAAATCTTTAGGAATTTACAGATCAGATACATATACATATACCATATACATGTATATGGTATATACCATGGTCAGCTTTTTAACTTATATTTTTATATAAATATGGTTGAAATGACAAATAACAACAACAAAACAAAACAAATACAAATCTTGCGTATTTTCAGAAATAGCCTGACAATATTACAACAAGTGCTTTAGCATTTAGGTGGTACATTAACTGTAGTAGGCCAAACACATTATCCTAAAATACAGAGCTACCTGTGGTCAAACTGATTTTACAGTAAAAAATCACCATTGAAATGACTGAAATTAGAATTAAACTGTTTTTCCAAACCTCGCAACACCCTAGTATAGACACTGGCTCTACTTTCTCTCTCTGGTTCGTACCCTGTTTTTATGATTCATGCTTTAAAGCTCCTACACGTCTACTGTAAATTCATTCATGAAAATGTTGAGCAGCGAAAGAATGGATCAAAAGGCACCACGATGTATTATGTACTAGCTTATTATATAACTTTATCCCATATAATGAATCCTTAACAAAGTTAGACTGAACCCTCTCACCTGTGTTGTCGGCCAGGAAGGTTTCTCTGGTAGAGGTGAGTCGGTCCATACAGTCTAAAGAGGCCTGACATCTGGATGCTAGGTAGTCTGCAGAGGAAAAAGCATGCACGCGATCTTTACAACAAACAGTGCTAATTAGCATTCCAAAACTGAATTATTTTTGTGCTGTGTTATAGAATTAAGACATTAGTTTCTGACCCGCGGAGCTGGTGCAGCTGATGTGTGCTGGGTCATCTATCTGAGCCAGAGAGTCCTGGATGATCTTCTCCGCCTCCTCCACAGCTCCCTGCAGACTGGACCATCGAGCTGCTACCAGCTGGCTCTCCAACGCCTGCTCCCTACTCTCCTGTGGACGCGGATAATACACAGGCACTTTGAACTTAACTTTAACCGACCTTCATTAGAAATTCAAATGTAAAAAAAGATGCTCATTGGTCATACTGGTGTCCGGAATCATCTGCTTGATTTATTACAACATAATTGAGAAATTGACAATCCTTCACCTTCTCATTGAGCTGATTCTGCAGGGCTTCTGCTGTCTTCACCCCACTCTCCCTTTCAGTTGCCAGTGACGCTTGGACTCGTTCTAGCTCCTCCCCCCGGACAGCCAGCTCCGCCTCCACCTTCGACATGGACTGCACCAGCTCTGCCTTCTCAGACTCCAGGGCGACTAGCTGCGTGCTGAGCACCTCACTGGACTGCAGGGAGGAAATAAAAGATGGAGGAATAATAAAAGAAAAAAGAGAAAATGATTTCGAGGCACAATGACCACGCAGGAGGATGTGGTTGGGACAATAGACAGCTTTAATGACATGTCAGGATGTGGTATGATGCTGTGCTGACCTCACAATAAAGAAACACTTTATCTTCAGCTGCTGATTATAACAGTATTGTCTCCATTTAAGTGTGTGGAGAGGCGTACAGTCTCCAGAGAGTTTTGGGTTGAGGTCAAGCTTACAATCAAACAAACACTGGGAAGCTGTGGTTGTGCAACTTGGCTGCAATACAACAATTTTGAATTATGGCAACAGAGAGTTACATCAGATCCTGTGTATTTGAAGTACGTGAAATAGCACATTAACTATCCAAATGTTTGTAGGTAGGAGTTAAGAAATGTGCATGGAAGTGTTCTGCAGGTAAGAAAGAGAGACTTACAGCCTGGGTCACCAGCAGGTCCAACAGAGAAGGAGAAACGTTGAGAGATGAAGGAGAAACAGAACTGTTAAGAATATGGATGGAAACTGCACAGCAGGAGCTAGAGAGAGCTGGACTCTGGAGGCATGTGACAAGTGTGATAAAACGTGGGCTGTGTGTGTGAAAAGGAGTACGGAGAGATGGAGGAGGAGGACAGAAAGTGACGGGGAAGATAAGTAGCGGCTACCACAATGAGATGGAAGGAGTGGGAGGCAGAGATGGATGAGAGGTTGGGGGAACACTGCATGTTGAGAAAAACATCTCAAATCGGGGGCGGAGGGAGTCACAAGCAATAAGTGGGGTTGGGAGGGTTAATACCATGAATTCAGGGCTTATTGATTGATCTTATTTTCCGACATTCCCGTCATTGTTACCATTCAAAATATTTCTGCAGATCCATTTTTGCTCGCTGCTCAAGGGCTACATTGAAGCAAGGAGCCAAGCAGCTGCATTTACACAAGCAGCCAGATTTTACTGCTTCTGTGTTTTCATTCTGGTCTCGTCTTTTAAATAAATGCCTTCAGCGGCCTGTTACAAACGTCAACTTGGCTTCTCGGCTGTGCAGAGATGACAAACGCAGGGCTGAGAGAGGTTTAAGAGGAAGAGTAAACACACACACACACACACACACACACACACACACACACACACACACACACACACACACACACACACACACACACACACACACACACACACACACAGAGAGAACACCAATTCTCTAAATTTCAAAGAAAAGTATTAGCATATGAATCCTGTCAGGGACTGGATGTGTTTGAGATTCTGCTGTAGGAGGAACAGTCGCTGACTAAGAGGGAAGACAAAAGACAAAAAGCTCAAATGGAGGGAAGTGACAGTCCTCTTTATAGATGAAAGACGTGGACTCAGGAACATAACAGGGACGCATTTATCATAATCAGGATCTGCTGTTAGCACTTGCCGTCTAGATTTAGCTTCCACAATCTGAACAGTCTGATCAAGGATACAGACCGTTACATACTAATCATTCTTGGTTAAGAAAAAAAAAAGGCCAGTATATTAAGACTGGAATGTGTCTGAAAGCAGGTCCCATGAACAGCTGTACCGTATTGTTGACTTTTCCCAAACGCAGATTCGTGAACCAACTAACGCCACAAAAGTCGAGTGAAAGTGAAATCATCAAATAATTGATGATGACTAAAATAAGAGTGTGTGACGCCAGCAGCCCATTATTAGATTTTATCCAGACTGTTATCCATTAGGATCACACTGGTCTGTTAGTCAGGGTGAAAAATGTTATATCATTAATCTTTTCACACTTTCATGTAGTTATCTTTTTTAAATTGGGACCTTGTTAGCAGATTTAAGCTAATCTTATTGTGTGGGGGGCGTTGAGAGAGAGAGGAGAGTGACCTGTTGTGACGAAGCCATGGTGGTCTTCAGGGAGTCCAGTTCCACCCTGCTGGACACCAGCTCTCTCTGGAGTTCCTGAAGCTGATCCAGCTGTTCCCTCTCCTGGAAAAAAAAAAGTCAAAATCTCTCTTTAGGCAGCAATTCTCGTTATAACTCCACACCAAAATAGAAATACTATTTTGAAAAGCAGTTTGCTTTGTTTGGATCATTTAGCCAAATGACAGTAGTGAGGTCTAAGTATTGGCCTCACCTGCTCTCTGTGTGTGTGTGTGTGTGTGTGTGTGTGTGTGTGTGTGTGTGTGTGTGTTTGGCAGTGACAATAAAACTTATCTCACACTCACTTGTCTGTCTGCAGCCTCCTGAGCGGCCTTCACCTTCTCTTGCATCTCTCTCCTCACTGCATCCACTTCATCCTGTGCCGCCCGAGCCACCGTCATCTGCCTGGTCACCTCTGCGTTCTACACACAGACACACACACACACACAGACACAGACACAGACACACACACACACACAGACACACACACACACACACACACAGACACACACACACACACACACAGAAGGTCATGGGACACAGATGCAGACACGCAGAGAAACACACCAAAATAATTAGGACAGAGGCTGGAGCTTCAGCTGGAGGGGGGAATATGAAAGGTCAGCAGGAGGACAGAAGGGAAGGTATTTTAGGAGGGGACAAAGACGTAGAAAAGGATTTGATGAACATGAAGATGAAGTATGATTTTTTTCTCTCACCTTCCTCAGCAGGTCTGCGTGACTTTGAACAAGCTCTGTGTACTTCTCCTTCAGTTTGGTGTAGCGCTGCTCATTGGCCTGAGCTTTTTCTGGTTAGAAACACACACAGTTATTAGCAGACAGTAAATGACAGCAGGAAATCCAGGAGGGGAAAACTGCAGGTAAATAATCTAGTTTAATAAATTCCTTTTAGTTTTTCATGCTTCATTTTTATTTTGCTTCAACTCACTGTTTGATAAATTAAAGAGACCAACTTTCTGTTTCTTATTTTGATCATAAAGTGCCCTTAAGTGCACACTCTGAAACACTATTACTTTTCCAAAGTTTCCATATTTTCCAAAAATTCTTAATAAAGAAAGAACGCTTCAACAATCACAAACTATTCCGATGTGACTGCTACCTTTTTGAATCATATCTATACAGCAATAATGACGTAATAAGTCCAGCCTTACTCTCTATCTCCGTCAGGCTCCGCTGCTCCTTCTCCGTGTCCTCTCTGACCCTCCGCAGGTCGTCCAGCTCTGCCTTCAGGAACTCGCTCTCCCCTGCAGCCTGCAGCCTCAGGTGGCTCTGCTCTGCAAGCTCCGCCTCCAGCTCGTTGACACGCCCCCTCAGCGCCTGACACAAGCGACCACTCTGATGTAATGAAGCAGAAAAAATAAAGACACATTATGAAGTTGGTATACGGTTGATTCACTTGTTTCTGGGGTTATAGATTTCTTCTTCTCTACCTCCAGTCTGAAAGACTCCAGCTCTTCTTTGAGGGCCTGGATTTCCCTCGTCAGCTGTTCAATCAGACGGTCTCTGGTGGATACAGACAAAATAAAAATAATAAATAAACTTCAGCTTGATTTTGGTTTGGATTATTCATCAAATGTGTTGTTCTTAAACATAGATCCACATCTGGGCTGTGAATTCAATTAGTGATATTAGTGATCAGTGACGTGACGTTTTCAAGCCTTACTTGTCGTCTTTCCGCATGCCGTTCTGACTGTTGAAGTTGAAGGGGTCTATAGCAGCTGAGGTACCAAACAGGTCGTCAAACTTGGTCTCCAAAGCAGCCTGAAGGTTTATGAAAGAAAAATCACATGAAAAATATCTCTATGTATTAGGAAACACAGTCATTACCTGCTGGACGTTGTACCAGCATGAATATAAACCAGATATTTACAAAGAATCTAAAAAATATGTTTCTACAGAGGAGTCTGTTAATGTGCTGGCAGGTATTTCCTGTTTGTTTCCTTCATTTTTACCACTTTCCCTCTCGTCTACTCCCACAAACATCAGTCATAGATTTTTTGATCGCTGATTACAACAGCATGCATGTGAGTCGGGAACCGACCATCTAGCATTTCAGCAGGTACCATTCAGGGATACTTGTCTTGTTTAGTTACCGGCAGCACAGGGACGTCCGTGTCCACCAGGTCATCTGTCTCCACCACATGCTCCGACTCCGGGGACGACGACTCGGCGGGGATCACGACCACAGGGCTGATGTGCTCCGACAGAGCCGACGCACGCAGGAAGTTGGGAGGGTTCTGCAAGAAGCACAAATATAATCACTATATTATTTAATCAACCTGTATATCCATCAAAGTGAGTTAATCAGTTGCCTTTTGGGAGAATTTTTGTGTCCATAGCAACTTGCAACATAAAAAGTTTTAGTACGTGCAGTTTAGGGCTGGGCGATTGGACGGATATATTGGCTAGCTTTTGTCCTTGCTCAGTCACTGCATCTTAGTGATGGAGATGAGTTACACCCTCAAATTGATATGAGCAAATTTAGGACAAGGTATGAGCCCAAAGTTCTCATTTCCATTTATATCATATGTATATAAACAATATACAACTACTAGTGGGTACTGCCATAGCATGTCAGTAAAATGAAGTTGGGTTGGTAAAAAATGAGAAGTTGATATTAAAAGAAATACCTATAATATGATATTATTAAAAAAAAGTAAGCAATAACAGCTGTAAATGATCAAACAGCGTAATAGATGAATTAACCAGTTGCTAAACAGAAACCTGAAACAACCGTCATGGTCAACTTGGGGCTAAGGTGTGGTTAGAATGTGGAAAATGACTCAGTGAGAGGCGGTCCTCACCTCAGGCAACTGTGGGATCTGAATCAGCCTCTTGAAATACTGCAAGTTACTGGAGCGATAAAACAGACTCTTTAACCTGAAACAGAAAGAACCAGAGAAAAGGACAGACAGAAGAAGGAATAGACAGAAATTCAGAGTGAGAAGGGCAGAAATTCATTCAACACGGTACTAAACCTCAGACCTTGAGGTCACACTCAGTACAGTGACCGGCTGTGTTTCTGCCTGTGTGTGTGACTGCAAGTGTACTTCATACTTCTTAAACTGTTCCTGGAAGCGATCTCTGTGGCCCTGGAGAGTGTCTGCTGGAAGGCCTGCGAGCACACACAAAACACAAACACGTCAGTGCTCAGACACCAAAAATTCTCAGGTATTCAGAATATATATACATAACGTTTAGGTGCACACATAGATGGTGGGATTTTGTGCATCAATGTATCAAAATCTACTTTTCAGAAACAGAGAAAAGGCTTTATTAAGGGGGATTTCAGGAGCCCAAAGGGCCTGAACAATTCTTTAACTAAGAGAGATGTCGTCTCTGACTCTTTGGAGGAAAGAGTCACCCATTGTAAGTATTCACACACATTATGTACTGCAGTACGTTTAAGACCATAAAGTAAAGCTAGGCACTCAACAGGTAAATCCAAGGCTGCTCAAGAGGCAGTGGATCTCCTGCAAGAACTCTTATGAACAGACATGTTTCTAAGCAGTGAGTACAAATCTGTGGCATTCACCAACCTCCTTTCTTCAAACGAAATTAACGAGTGGTTCAGACCTGTCGTTTGAGTCATGTTCAGACAGTCTGCCTTTTGTTTCAGATGTGAGGATTTCTTGTTTTCATCATATATGATAGCAAATTAAATATTGTTTGGTTGTGACTGTTTAAATAAAACAAGCTATTTAAGAAAATCCCTTCAGGAAGTTGTGATCAACGTTTTTCACCACTTTTTATAGTCTATATAATCGTCACATTAATTGATAATAACATTAATTGCCAGTTGCAGTCTACGGACACAATGTATGTTTTCTTCTGCTGATTTCTGATATTCAGCTTTTTACTCTCTCATGACTATATTTTTGTGAATTCTTGTTCACATATGGAGCAGAACAAGTCACTTTATCAATTTAGGGTTGTTGATTCTGCTTTTGATCAAATCACATGAACATGCTCCTCCCTCATGAATAAGTGGCACCTATCAGGTTGAAACAAGTGATTTAAGTTTGGTGAATCCAACCTGGAACAACTGTATGTGCAAACCTAACACAAAAATCTAAGAGAGACCAAATGATTGATTAACTTTGCTGACCAATAAAATTTTTTGTTTAAGTTTTGGCACCCAAATAAGGTTGAAACTCTAATTCACATGAAACTGCACTACAGAAATACTCAAAAGAAAGCAACCATAGCTACACCATACTATTCCTACTGGGCCTGTAGTTTGACCAACAAGATGTGTGCGTCACTCACAGGAATGCAGCTTAAACAGCAGCTTGACGGTGTAGTCATACAGGTGGCTACTGTCCAGGATGACTTGTATGAGGGGGGCCAGGCGACACTGGCCCGCCGCTGTCACCGACACCGACCGTGACATGTCTAGAGAGCTGAATACTGCGAGAGGAGAGAGAAACACATACATCGATCAATACATGCATTCACAAGATCAATGTACACCCACGCAGATTTGTGCAAACCCATCAGGTAACATTACAAAAACGGCAGGAGTCACCACACACTCACACATCAGAGATTATTAAAGCAAACACAGAGACAGACGTGCACGAGTGTCATCCATCATTCATTTTTCATGAATCAATCAAGTTGTGCTGCTGTCCTCTCTGAAAATTAAGTCATAAAATTCTCCAAAGCAACATGCAGCTCTTTCTTGTTTATTGAAAAAAGGCAAGAAAAAGTGTTTTGAGAGGGAGCAGCAACCTGAACACTACCAGGATTGTCTGCCTCTCTCTCTCTCTGCCTCCATCATTACGCCTCCTCTTTCATTTCCCTGCCACCCTGCACACACCAGGCCCAAAAGCCAGGCCCTGAGAGAGCAGCAGAGGCGTGGTTTCCTGCACAGCTAGAAAACACACACACACACACACACACACACACACACACACACACACACACACACACACACACACACACACACACACACACACACAGACACACACACACACACACACACACACACACACACACACACACACACACACACACACACACACACGGACACCTCAGGCCTGGCCTCTTTACCCCTGGATGACGTGATGCTTTTAAAATACACCAGACTGGAGGAGGAAGCTGACAAGAGCTTTGAGATTTGGGTGTGAGGTAACACAGACTCTAATGTGTTTTAAAGAAAGCCATTTTGTCCTGAAGTTAGGGATGGAAGGGAGGGATGTGATTTTGGCAGATAGCTCCATGTTCAACATCCTCATACTCAGAAACAAGAAGGCAACTTCCCACTGTTCATTTATGAATGGGAGCGCACAGCTTCTCCAGCCTTTCTTCTGAGCTCCTGGTCACATCCCGGCCGTCTATTTTTAGTCCTGTCCATACTTTAAGAGACGTTAAACCCCCGATGACTCACCCAGACAACAACAGGGCTTACTTTACAGTATGTAACCACCGATAGACTGAGTCAGAGTAGGTGGAGCTCTAATGATACTGTGATATCATCTATAGTGTCTATTTCTGTACACATTATGCACAGTACACCTATCAGTCAGACAGCGTCTTCCTGTCTGTCAATTCATCAGTCTGTCTGTGTGTGTGTGTGTGTGTGTGTGTGTGTGTGTGTTACATCATGGTCAGATAAGCACAGCTGGTAGCACAGAGAACACAGTCAGACGAGAATAGCTTACCACCCAAGAAGAGGTTCAGCTCACACTCCAGGTAGTCAAACATCTCCACTGTCAGCTGGAAGCTAAAGGAGGGGAGGGGGGTACACAGAGATGTTTTCAGCAAACATACACAGGTTTCATTGCATCACTGGTATCTTCTGACTGAGGAGTGTAAGAGACATTGATGTTATTCCTCTTTCTTTTCAGTTGCACGTAAGTGTTTCCTTCATGATTACTTTAGAACACTGGGTCGTTTCCTTCCTGCATTCTGATTGGTTGAGTCATGGAGTAAAATCCCCAAAACACTGCACACCTGTTACTGCACAGTACAGTTGCTCTCAACCTGGGAAATAATCTGAGGGGTTGTTAAAGTGATACACAAAATGATCAGTTTGATCACCTCTTCTGGCCTCTAGAAATCTGAACAGTTCACCAATCTGAGAAGGTCATTAAAGCCACAACCTCTGATGGGCGCTAGTGGATATTAGCTTGATTTAAAGGGGAACTTGGCAACTCTAGCCATTTCTTCGCTGGTCTTCACTTTTGTCGTCACATGTTTTCTCAACGAGCTCCCCCTACAGCTCCGGGACGTATATTTCAAAACACGGTCGTAAAAAAACTCACTTGCGGCACCCTCCTCCCCCTTTCTACCGCTGCTGATGTGCATTTGTTGCCGGCCAACTTTTTCATGTGGAGCAATGTCTACCGAGATGGGTAATACATCGTAATACGATCGTTGCTTGTTCTTATAGCCGGCGTGGCTAACCGGTATTGAGGGGGGCGTGTGCGTTTATGTGGAATTGCCGTAAAGCAGTATGTGTTTCTCGCTCCTTCTCGCTTCTCCTGATACTTCCTATTTCCAACTTAACGGGACGGTAGTCCCAAAATTGCAAGGTTGGTTTTCCGCCTGGGGACGCTAGAGGGAGCAGGGACAGTCACCATTAACACCGGAACAGGCCATTTAGCCATCCAAATGATTTCTAAATGGGTTTATTAAGTTGAAATAGTTGCCAAGTTCCCCTTTAAAGGGGCGACAACCCAAAAGATTGAGAACCACTTGTAGAGGAGTTATTAAAGCAGATTATTGTACCAGCCTCAGAACTAAAGTACTGGGAGGGTGACTAAAAAAGGCAGAACCATAGATTAAAACAATGAACTGAAACCTTTCCTCTCCGTGTTTTTTTAAGGCCTTAGTCCTTGCTCAACAACACCTCTTGATTATTCTAAAATCCATCCCGATGAATGAGTTCTTGTGGATAACTCATGTGCATCATGATTTAAGTAGCGATCCAATGCAATCATTTAATTTCACACTTTGGTCGACACAGTTTGAGACATAACACTGAAACTCATTAATATCTGGATCACGGGGTCCGGCCAGCACAACGGTCATGCTCAGCAAAATACCACAATAACAACAACAACAACTGGCGAAGCGGCAGCGTGACAAACTCACAAGTTGTTAACGTCATTCTCTCCCGCCTCGTCAAGCTGTCTGTTTGACATCTGCAGGTTGCCGGGGAAACGAGGGTTCTGGAAGAGAAAGAGAAGAAGAAGAAGATCACAGGAGGAAGCTTTAAACTCAAGGTCAGCCATCCTGACGTCCGTCTGAGACGAACACATTTACAGGAAGAATCTGATGTTTATAACCATTAATATGCTGATAAAACTGGTCTTTAAGAATATATGGTTGTTTTCCAGGTAAGCCGGGCGGTACATTTTTAATTACTCAAATACTGTACTTAAACGTATTACAAAGAGTTTTACCTGGTTATAAAAGAGTCTCAATTTAATACTAATATCTGCCTCTATATGACCGCAAAAACAAACACAATCAGTCAAATCCCATGCAGGGGCACACATTTTATCTTGTACTTGAACTTTACTTGGGTATTTCCATTTGATGCCATTTTCCACTCCTACGCCACTACTTCTCCTGAAGTTGTTGCATATTTACACATACAGCAGCATAATTAATCTAGAACTGTAAACAAAACTCTCCACGCACTGCCAGCAACTGTCAGGTGCTGGTAGGTCGAAGGACCTTGTAGTAAAACATAAAGATTAACCACAGCACACTGGAATGACTCCACTTCATTTATTTAGGATTCACCAACCATTTTAACCATTTAAAATTGTGTTTGTGTGATGAAAGCCTGATATTCACTCTCTTTTAGCTCTGCTTTTGGTTTCGTCCAACTCTGAGGATACTATCTGGCTCTGCAGCTGCTGAATGCTCCACTATGTTCACCAGCTAGTTGCTAACGCTGTCTATCTGCAGTTTGAGCTGTGCCGGTAGACTACAGTGGGTCTTTTAAGAGTTTTTGGGTTGAAAATCAACACTGATGAGATGAGAATGAACCAAAACAGAAAAAGTTGCTATAAACCTCCGTAGAGCTGAGGGGATGATGCCACATCACTATGACTTTCATATACAAGTAATCATGTGATCCATTGTTAATATTAAACATACTGATTAGAGCAGCTTTAAGTAAAGGATCTGAATGCTTGCCCCACCACTGCTGGCTGCTAAGTGTTTGAGATGACACGCTCAGGTAAATCGTTTGGACTTTGGCTGCTCCTGTGCAGTCTCTAGACTTTTGCCCCACTAGTTGAAGCCAATCAAAACAAAATCCTGGCTCTTAATCAAACAGGCTGTCAGCCGTCACGCTTCATTTCTATAAAACGGCGGCACTAAAAACTGTGAAAACTGTTGTTGTTTTTGTCTTATTATTAATATATTATAATTATATGAAGTTTATCGACATTTCCCTGTAGTGAGCAAAGAGAAGTTTACACATCACCTCATTCTGTTAAGTCACAATATATATATATATATATATATATATATATATGTATATATATATATATATAGATAGATAGATACATGCACTGTAGAGGGTGTTTATTTAGCAAGTAGTAAAAGTTTTAAACTATATATTTTTTTTACTTTTATTGCCTTTATGATAGTGACAGCTGAAGACAGACAGGTAAGGGGGGCAGAGAGAGGGGATAACACGCAGCAAAGGGCTGCAGGTCGGATTCGAACCCTGGACCGCTGCAACAAGTACTGAGCCTGAGTACATGGGTCGCCAGCTCTACCCACTGAGCTAACCGGGCACCCAGGCAGATTTTGTTTTAGTTCAGCATTTATTTGCAGGTTAAAAGTGAATATGAGACAGTGTTTGCAGGAGCTGATTGTTGATTAATTGACCTTTATCTAGTGTGTGACCATTTCCTCTTCTGTGAGCTCAGAAGTTATTTTAGATATTGTGTGTAGGTTTACAGATCAACCTGCATGCTGCATGTATGAGCAACAAATTTAACAAATACAGAGTGCAGGGAGGTGACGTAAAATATGATCAATGGCTTTATCTGCCACACATGTCACATTACTCCTCCGACTCTGAAGTTACATCAGCAACCTGCCCTCACCCTTCAGCAGAGCAACGGCTAACCCCGTCTTCCTGTGATAGCATCAACACTGCCTTTTAGGTCCTTGCAACGCCCCGCTGTCTCATAAAAAGGCTACATTACAGACTCTTGAGAGGCCATTAGTGTAAAAGCCAGAATTTTCTATGATGCCAACCCCACCCCCACCCCCCCGCAGAGACACACTTGCACTAAAAGGAGAGTCTGAGACAAAGATAATGAGTGATGAGGGAGACTGGCGCTGGTTTTTATAGGCCAGGCCAACTCACTTTGATGTGAAACTCCATTTTGGTGATGAGCAGTTTGAGGTAGATGCTGCACAGCTTCCCATAGCCTTCACTCAGGTGACCCTGTGGAGGAGGGGACATTAAGAGAAAACAAGAGACACGATTCAAAAGGTAGAACATTATCTTTTTCTCTCCTGGAAGACGTGCAGGTTTGGTAGTAACTAAGGAAGCAAATCATTCTGTGCTTTGAGGACATTTGTTCTGGCAGCATAAAGAGACTGAGGCCATATTCATACTGCAGGGCTAAACTATACTAAACTATACCACAGCAGCAGCAGCCAAAAGAATCTTCACTGAAAAACATTATAAACCAGCAGGTTTCATTTCAATGTCCCTCGTCCAAGAGTGTGGACAAAGTTGAATAGAGCAGCTATGTGGCCAATTGCTTCTCACTTCCTTTTTCCTTCAGCCTGGGAGTGCTGGTGGGTGATGACACAACAGGAAAGAGAGGCCACAACCCCCGGTCACAGGGAACAAACTTCCTGTATCCTCCTACCTAGTGACATCAGCAAAAAGCTGAGTAATAAAACAACAAAAAGTAAATCCAGGAATACAGAGCTGAACGGGTTCTCCACCCAGCACAACACTGCTCAAGACCCTAACTGAAGTGTGACTGTTCAGTCTACGTGGTTTAATGCAGTGCAGTCAGTACAGGTTTACACAATAAACCTCATGTATTTCATCACTGTCACCAATCAGGGCTTTACACAATAATGTTACATGTTTTCCGTTTTTAGCTCTGCCACCTCAAACGCGTGAGATTCCCTGCAGAGAAGCTCGCAGATGAGCTTATGTAATGTGACTGTCTGTTAGTCACAACACGCAGGCGACGTGTTGCGAGCTGTGACAGTCACACTTGGCATGTTTTACGCGGCTTTGTCCATCACAGGCCGCACTGTCTGTCACTCCGACAGACAGACAAACAGCAGGCAGACTAGAAACAATTACACCCGTAATGTGATGACTGGAACGAGGAGATAAAGTTGGAGGCTGTTCTCTCGTGGTAGTAAACAAAACACACACTTCCCTAAATTCAATTAAGAGACATTCTTCTGGCCACACTCCCACTGTGATGTCAGAAAAGGTGTAACCAGTAATCATGTAGCTGCAATTCAATTATTAAGTTGTAGGGCTTCAAAGGATGCTAATGATTGTTTTCATTGTCCATTAATCTGTCAATCACTTTCTCAATTAATTGATCAGAATAATAATTATGTTTATTGCCAAGTAGGTTTTTACACCTACGAGGAATGTGTTAGTTCTTTGGCCAAGAAACTGTCAGAAAATGGTGAAAAATGTTGATCACCATTTCCCAAAGCCCAAGGTGACGTCCTCAAATGTCTTGTTTGGTCCACAGCCCAAAAGATATTCAGTTTACTGTCACAGAACCAGAAAATATTCACATTTAAAAAGCTGAAGTCAGAGAATTTGACTTCTTTTCAAATTACTCGATGATCAAAATAGTACACTACTTAGCTGTCTCTGTCTGAATGTCAATCAGACTTTGACAATAAGAAAAGGACTCATCAGGACAGTCCACATTTTTATCTTTATTTTTTCCTTCATTGTATGAGCTTTCTAATTCTTCAGTTATCAAAGTCTGCCATTCATCCATGTTTAATATTTTAATATTCATAATACAGAGTCACCAGTAGAGAACTATTCCCACAAGGTCATACTTAGACTTGTGACTGCGTGCTGTGATATGACCACATTAATATAATAATTATCTCTGTGTCCTTACCCACATCCTGCTCATATCTGTTAAATCAGCCTTGTTCCTCATGGAGTCTTTTATCACCTGCAGGGACAGCAGCAGAAACAGAGAGGAGGGGGGATCGAGAGGGGGAAAAGAGTTAATGTAACAGGACTCACCGGGTATAATTAACTAAATGTAGATGAGGTGTGACAAAGCCACGGCGTTACGGGACGCCATCTTTACGTACGCTTGGATGGCCGTCTCGCAGCAGCTTGTGGAAGACATGGCAGAACTTCCAGCAGAGCACCGCGTTGCTGGAGAGAGGAAGCCGGTTGACCGCTGCCCAAAAGGTGTGGGCGCCTTTCTCATGATGGGTCCCCAAGATGCAAGGTGACAGAAAGAGTCAAGGATCACAGGGTTACAGTGCAGGACATCTTTTGTGTGTGTGTTTTGTGTCGTCTTGCTCACGGCCGATGTTATGTTTTATAATCTTGTTTTCTGTCTCTTCTTCTCCATTTTTACTCTGTTGGCACATCTGTTTTCATGTCCTTGTCTTTTTATTTTTCTATTTATCATCCTTTTTATTTATTTTATTTTTTAAGTTAAAAAAACAAAAATAATGAGCCCTGGATATTCTGACTTTAGATAAATCTCCAAACAGCACTCTCCTCTGTCTGTGCAGCTTTGTGATTTGTTTCACACACGACCAAATTAGCTCTGCAGCAGGGCCACGTATAGGTGATGAGGTTACACTAAGTTTGTTGTTTTTATGTTACACAAACGTAACCCTCTCAGCCATGGAGGAACAGCTCCACACACACATGGAAATCAGGACAAACACACACACACACACACACACACACACACACACACACACACACACACACAATGACAATATAAGGATATTCCTGGCATGCTTCTCTTTGACAGCGACCTCCTGTGTGTTGATGGCCTTATTGATGCTGACAGCCTGTGAAGAGGAGGGAAGGAAGGGCAGAGGAGAGAAACAGAGAACACAAATCAGCCCACAGCTTTTTTCACACCGCTTACAGAGAAAAGAAAAAAAAAACTTCAAGTGTCAAGTGTTTCATTTTAAAACTTGGCACCCTTTACACCTTTCAGAAAGTTGCTTTTTCCTTTTCTAACCACCTGGGGAAAGAGAAGCAGCGAAGTTTTCAGTAAAGGGTGACTGACCCATTTTATGTGGAGTTGGTATTCAAGGCAGGAGCTAAGAGACCCAAGCTGCTCTCTGCTTTTGAGGAGCTCTACTTAGGCAAACACCTGTCTCATCGAGTGACACATGTTAAGTGTATCTAAGAGGGCAGGGGGTCAAAATAGCGAGTGTGATTTCTCTTCTTACACTCCCACAAAGAAAACTTCTCGTTTCTGCCTGAATTGTGGGATTCGGGATTGTAAAATATATAGAAAGGAACAGAAAAAATCACGTAACTTTCATCAGAGCGGAACCATTTCCAGGCCTGAAGCCTGCATTCACATATCCGAGGAACCGATCTTCAGTTAACATTAGGACTGTGAGCAGGCAAACTAAATGAGATAGCACCAATAATTACTCACGTGTGGATGATCAGGGGAGTATCTGTCTGTGCTGTGAAATCTACTCAGGAATGTTGGCCAGGATAAAACTGAACCCCTCCAACTTCAGCTCAAATTAAAGTATCATTTAACTTGGCTTACAGAAACACTAGAGACGTGTCTCCACTTTTCAGTTATATAGTATATGCATCCTGCAGGCGAACACCGTCATACTAACATCCATTATGACTATTACAAAGCTGCTGTGGTAGTAGTGTTTGATACTAACTGGCTGAAAAACATACATCATAAGGAAACAATGGTCTTTTGTAGAAATGTGGCCAAAGGAGTTATTGCTCTATTAGAAAAAAGGAGTGTGGGTGGATGGATTTCTGAATTATCTACAAATCAATTATCACATTTCTAAGCAGCTCCCTTCCCTAAGCCACAAAACGCTTTATACATCTTTTTTCCCCCCAGTAATACTCCCCAACACCTTTAAACAGACTTTGATGAGTAAGAGAGTTTGAGAGTTAAAAATCACCAAATAATTAGGGTTTATCCTCTGGGGATCATGGATATCCTTAAATTTAATGGCAACCCTTTCAATAGCCGTTGAGACCTTTCACTAAAAACTGTAAACCTCATGTGGGTCTTGAATAAAAGTCAAGGGATAACCAAACTAAGTAGGATTCATTATCTGGGGACCATAAATGTTTGCACAGTTATATTTCAGTCAGGACCGACCCACAGACATCCATAGATACCATGACTAAAAAACCCTGTACTTGCTCTTGCATGATACTTCTTTATGTCCCATCGAGGGAGCCACAAGAAAGCTGTATGATGAAATAAATATGAAAACGAGCCCCACAAAATGTTCCCGCTTTAATTTGGGGACAGTGTTGTTTGAGAGTTTAAACCGTTTCAGATGGTTTTCAAAACAAGGTGTTCTGGAGCAGCATCTGGCTGACATATCACGTTACACACGAGAGGAAAATCAAACCAAGAAAAGTCATCCATCTCAACCCTTCAGCTCAAAACCTGGGCCTGAAATGCCAAAGTTCAAAAAATAAAAGCCAAACTTGCATTTTGTCACTATCGTTTGCACGGTATCATGAACAGTGAGTGTGGTGGCCAGGGTCAGAGGAGGACGGGAGAGGCCTGTTTCATAATCTCACTTCCCACAGATGTCCTGAGTCTGCTCCTCCTCTTCCAGTATGTGAGCTGTCAGGACTGCAAGTTCACCGCGAGGAATCACTGGAGGAGGAGGAGGAGCGGGCCAGGAGGGGTGGGGAAGGAAGGAGGCAGGAATGAAGGAGAGAAGAGGAGGAACACTTCAGGAGCACTGGTTGCTATCAGTGTCACTATGAGACAAACCCAACCCACTCTGCTAATCTTCTATATCCTTACAGCAAACAAACATATGCTACCAGGTGTCACCGACTGAAACTCAGATCATATTTTTATTTATACCCATAATCCCCTCAAACACACGGCTGGAAACAAAAACTAAACTGTGATTAGAGAAGAACAACTGGGTTCAAAATTGAGCTCCTGTCTCGTCTGAACGACAGCAGACAACAGATTGCATCCTCCTCACACGCCACACTCTGAAGGAGATGTCATCACCAGCTCCAGCAAATTGGCAAACACGAGTTTTGTGTTCACAAAAATCTAATTTATGAGGGAGATTCAGATCAAGTCACAGGAGGAGGAAGAGGGGAATGCAGAGCTGGCTGCTGTTTCAACATCTCAGACTTGAAATTCCACAACGTCCGCGCTCGGCTCGTAATCCTGCCGATGGCGAGGAGACACCGCAGTGTGTCGTAAAAATGATGGCTGACTGCGCTTTCTGCTCCTGTCATTAAGTGTTGATTAAACACGAGCGCTGGAGCTGGAACCCAACACCTGTCCTGTTGCATCAGCAGCACCAACCTGAGCCAAGACTCTGGCTGTGAGTGTGAGAGTGTGTGTGTGTGTGTGTGTGTGTGTGAGAGAGAGTGTGTGTGTACTATAAAGGTCAAACACTGCAGGGCTTACGCTGTCCTGTCTGGGCTGTGCAGAAAAGAGCTGAAAACCCATTGTGGTCTAACCTACAGTCGGTTTTCTCAAAACCACTAGAAAAAGGTTCCCGGTTAAATTTGAGCATGCGCTTTGTAAGAACTTCCTGTTTGCAAATTAACTACAAATAAAACCCCTTGAAAAAAAATTAAACGCTTTTTTAAAAAAAAAAAAAAAAAATAAATTTTTTTTTTTATTTTAAAAGCTGGTGAGAACACATGAAACAACAGTGTTTAACATAGAAAGGCATATAGTATTATCAATGACAGCACACGTGAGGCAATAAGAGTCGTGTACGAGATGTATAAATTGATGAATGGAGTTTTTGGACTCTTTGGACTTTGTGGTTTGGATGCTGATTGGCTACAGATTGGAAACTGCTGTTAACTGGAGCTGCACAATTAATCAAAGTATTACTTAAATCTCAATATGTTCAACATCTAGATGGCAGAAGCTGCAGTTTTTTTGATAAAGGTAAAATGTTTGAGAAAACAGCATTATAATAAAGTATTGTAGCTCTGTGGAGATGACCTACAAATCTTTTTCTCCAGATTTAAGAAAACATGTTTGTTGTGATGCAAAGAATTAGGATTCCAACTAAACAAAAATCAGATCTGTCAAAAATAATCATACTAGGATTTATTTGTGTTATATTCTTTTCTCGGCTTTCATTGCCTTTAATTTACAAAAACAGCTAAAGAGTGACAAGAAGTGGGAAGAGAGTGAGGGGAGGACACGCAACAAAGGGCCACAGGCAGGACTCGAACCCACGAGGTCCACTCTCTTAAATCTAATAATGTGACCGAACTTGCACAATGAAATGTGCTTGAAAGCTACAGAAAAACTAGTCAGTGGACCTTGAGTTAAAATGATTCCGTCATACTACTATTTCCAAGATCGAGAATCAACTGTCACAGTCAACATATACCACTGTGTTCACACCTTGGTTCATTTGGTTATGACCTCTTTTAGGTCAGTAAATGTTCCCATAACCTGTGTATCTTGAAAGCAGGTTCCTGTTCGTGTTAAGTTTCATTCTCACCGTCAATAATTTGTTTATTACCTACATTCAGCATAATGTTGCTATTTACATTTAATTGGCTCAACAAGTTCTCAAAATGTGTGTGAATGCAATTTACACCACATACTAGTTTAATTTCCTCCACTAGCACATGAAGCTAGCCAGGGCTTTACTTCCTCCCCCCACTCTTCATCAAAGAGGTTATATTTCCAAAATCAAATTCAGCGTATAGCTTGGCCAAAACATTTTGTTTATACTCTGGCCACATCTGCCTTGCATTAGCAAAGAGGGAAGTGGCTTTTGTGTCATTTCCTGTCACTGCGCTGGTTGTTAATCTGTCAAAACAACAACAATGACATTATCTTGGTTGTCATCAGTACGAGGGTCACGCAGTAAGATGTTTTTACTTTTGATATCAGCTGCCGTTGGATGTTAATGTCACATTGAGATCAAAAGAAGAAACATCTCATGACGATGACCCCCCCCTCTTTCTCTATCACTCACACAAAAATCAAGGGATGATTGTGAAACTCCCAGTGCAACTGGTTCCCACATGAGGATGACCCAATTAGCCCACAGTGAGACTTTGTACTTTGTGTTTGGGTTGAATGAGACTGCCAGCTGCCTGGGACTCCTGGCATCGGCTGCTGGCATGGACGCATCAATGGCCTATTAGCTCCTCGCAGTGCGGCTGCGCTGACCAGATGACAAAGTGCGATGATGAGCAATTAAATCGGAGGTGAGAAGGAAGTGATTATGAGGGTGAAAAGCAAAGATCAGCTCCGAGGGAGTCCTCCTTACGTTGGTTAATGTGGCGCGACCTCAGCAACTGAACTTCCTCCCTCACTTTCGCCACTAAACCCATCACTTATAATAAGGATTCAATCAATTACTCGCCAGCTGAACACAAAACTCCTTCTTACATCTTGGTATCTACAGAAACATCTTTTTTTTCCTCCCCCCTCCACAGCTTTGCTTTCAGACAAAGTGTTATTGATACAGTGTTGAAAGCATGTTAAGTTAAGCCTGGCAAACCCCAATCAGCCCCTTCTGTAGAAAGCAGGGCATTGATATGCTGATCGTAGCCTGGCTGTGTCCACTGGAGGGTTAGTGCACGGAGCCCAGAGAGAGGAAGCATCTTCCGCCTGCTAAATGAAACAGCCCCCCTCACTCATTGACTCACTTCCCCACCCTCTGCCTCGCTTCTGAGTGACTCCTCTGACCGATCTGCAACAGCATGTGACAAACGCATGCCTCTGCAATTCGATTTTCACGTATGTCCCGGAGATATGTCATCGCGTCACTCCACGATGGTAGCGGAGCAAAGGCAGCGCTCTTGGTTATTTTTTGCC